TTGGGACTGGAAAGAGTGAAGAACTCAAGTGCCCTGAAGGAGATAGACTTGGATGAAGTGCAAGGCAAGTTGGAAGACATGCTACTCTGAAGAGGAGATGCTGTTGAGTCTAGCTTGCAATGAGTTCCAAGCTGAGAGGGTGTGTCAGATGGTAAGCCAGTTTATGGATATCCTATCTGGGACTGGAGAGGAGGACTGGGAGAAACTGTCTGTACCAGTACTGTCTGAGGATATGTGGCTAGTGATTCTACAGTGGCTAGTGCCCTGCACAGCCTTGGTGCCTAGAGAAGGAATATCAAAACCGGTGTCAGGCCCCAGCCTTACCCACACAAGCATATACCTGAATACAATCAGTCAACCCATCTTCATTCAATCTTTCTATCACCGTGATATCTTCAGATACCATCAAATCTGATACTAATGTTACTCGCTATACATTTTTCTTACCAGAATTCATTCTGCTCTGCCAAGCTCTATGCTCTCTAGCTGCCATGTTGCAAGAGCCTCGTGAGATGAGATACTATGGGGATGTTGAGGGCCCAAGACTGCTGTCTGCCGCTTGCAACAATCCTCCATTAGTGAAACTGCTTTATACATTTTGTCTTGGTCTTTGAATATAAACGCTAGATTATTTATACTAGTCAGCGTATTAGGATGGTCCACTCCTAGCTTGCTCTTGCAAGCCTCTATCACTTCTACCTCCAGCAACTGTATAGTTACAAACTAAAATCTATAATATTATGTGCAATAATTTCTATAGAGTGTATAAAGAAGTGTCTTTAAAAAGTATAAAAGAGAATTATTAGAATAGAATATAACTAGAGATAGTAAGATATTTAATAATATAATAAAGTTATTCCTTCCTCTCCTCATTTAATAATTGCACTAAGTGTTATATGGAGCTTACCTATGTCCAAGTCTGGGTTAGGGTTAGATAGTTGTGTGAATGGGCTGTGAGGAGTATTCAGTGTGATTAGAGAGAGCGGTTGCAATATAGAAATAATCTTATTCTTTACTACGAAAGAATAACAAGTATTAATCTATGTAAAAGATAAACTTATAAGGAATTGACTATGAAGAACAGAAAGAACTCTAAAAGAAACTATCCTTATATATATTCTGTTTCTTCCTAGTCTGCTGGCCTGCTATCCTATCCTTGGCGGGATGTCAGTATCTTGACGGGATGGCTTGTCACGTGACCTGTTATGCTGAGCCACCCATCCTGCCTTCCTATTGGTGGACCTTTCCTTCGCCCCGAGTGGTCTTGGCCTGTACCGTAATTCCGCTCACTCGTCCTTACAGGTGAGCCATAATCATCGAGCGTTATTTGTGTCATAGCTTCTGTGCTGTTAACACTAAGCTAATATCCTAAAAAGTACTATATAAATATCTATAGGAGTAGTTATAGATAATACATAATAAAGTATCTAATAATTTTCTAGTGCGCTAACTTTAATAAGGCTAAGCAGCTTAAAAGATAACTAGAAACGGTGCTTTTTTTACTATAGAGAATTCTAAGCGAATGTTATGTTAAACTCGAAGGCAAAACAGGCCTTAACTAAACCTATACTCCAGCCCGCTCAAAAAGATTGTAATTTACAACTCTGCGCGATTCTAAGGAAACGGATAGCCAACCAGCGTCCAAGCCTGCTGGATCTTTTCCACATGCTTACCAGCATTTTTGATAGTAATATCGGCAAATTCCTTGAAGGTCGCGTCCTCACTGAGTTCACCACTCGTCAGTGCTTTGTACCAGATAGGACCAGCACCTTCCCAGGCGTACCCCCCAATCATACTAGCAGCAAGGTAAAAGGCACGATTGGGGATGCCGGAATTGACGTGAACACCACCACGGTCAATCAGAGAGTTCAAGCTTCTTGAAATCATTCCAATGTGCTGGCTGAGGGTCTTTCCCGACTGTTGCATCGTCGTAAGCCGTTCCAGGGTTCTTCATATCTCGGAGAGCTTTGCCTTTGATGTTCTTGGCCCAAATTCCCTCGCCGATAAGCCAGCTGGCTTGGTCGACAGTCTGAGGATGTTCTGGATCTGTACCCCATTGTTTCACCATGATGCCGAACACATCAGCAATTGACTCGTTCAAGGCGCCGCTTTGGAACTTGTACTCAAGTGGGCTTGTGTACTGCACCACACCGTGGGTCAGTTCGTGGGCAATAACGTCAAGCTCATCCGTGAAGCCGTTGAAAATATGTCCGTCTCCATCACCGAAGATCATCTCTCTGCCATCCCAGAAGGCGTTTGCGTATCTCTGGCCATAGTGCACGAAGCCATCGAGCTTCAAACCCCTGCCGTTAACTGAATCGCGCTTGAAGAATTCAAAGTAGAAGTCATAAGTCTTCTTGAACCCGACATAACATTCATTCGCGTCCTGGCTGGAATCCTCCTCCTTGCTGATGAGAACACCGCCTTCTTTGATCATGACCTTGTCTCGAGGAAGATCATCAGAGTCCCAGGAATTCTGTGCATTGTAGATTGTACGTTTCAAATGACGTACAGCCCCCGCAGCTGCACGAAATTTAGTGGCATGCTCAAGCGTACGAAGGGATGTTTCACGTTGCTCTGCTATTGCAGCATGCCGAGCAACATTCTCGTGGATGTAAGGTGGAACGATACCTTGAGCGGTCTGTTGCTGCTGAGCTGATACGATGCTCTGCCCATGTTGGATACGTGCGTCCTGAAGCCGTCTTGTGTTGTCGATGGTAGACTGACAAGCACTGATGATGTGCTCCGGTGCCTCCCCCTTCTCAACAACTGCACGTAGTATATATTCTGGAACAACGCAACAAATAGGAGACATATCTGTATCTTAGTGGAAGTGTATTCGTAAGTAATATATTGCTGGTTTTTAAACGAAGATGAAGAAGTTTACAAAGCGCTCTAAGCATTTTGAGAGCACCCGGAACACCTCTTTTATAGAGGGATCCGCCTCCCAGAACCGGGGTGCATATGCTTTTCCCTGCAGCTGAAAGCAAGGAGACAGTTGTACATTCATGTGACAATCACATGGGGTAACTTTTGTTGCAGCCCCATCTGAGGGGAAGCCGGTTTCGCTAGAGACTGATCTTGATCCTTACATTTACATCTTACTAGTGTGATACTTGCAGCTCTTCTCATGCCCGGTATTTCCGTCCCGCCAAATACGACTGCATGGTGCGGAGCAGAGCCAGTATAATTCGTGCCCGCACTTACATCTCATATGGTCACATCCATTGTGCTTCTCGATGCTCCAGCCGCAGTTTTCGCCGGGGCATTTCTTCGTGATATTGCTAATCATCGTGATGCTCTCCGTTTTTTGCGCGTGACATTTGTTGCTTTGGTCCATGCGATTGTCGAACTCACGACAGGTCTCACCTTCATGCGACTCCCTCCCATGAACAACGCACATGCGAAATCTGCATTCTGCACATGTGAAGATTTTCTGCCCCGACCCGCCTTCATGCTTCTGTTCGGATGAACAATTCATGCACCATTGAAACTCTGAATCGTTATTGAGGTATTTGCGGGTAGCTCGGTCGTCATATGCGCGGTTTTTTTTTAATTTTTCTTCATAAGGACTGGAAGTGCCGCTTACTGTTCGGAGATCTCTGGTGAAGCGTATATTTTCACCTCGGCAGGACGTCAACGTTATGTCGCACTTAAATTCTGGCCATTTGATATCAAGTGAATAGTGGGCTCCTCTCTCAGTCAACACTTATTTCTTGCAAGCCACCTAGCCTCAGCTGACGGCGCAACCCCACCCTCATAATAACATAACGCGGAAAAGTTCGGTACTCTCAAGGGAGAGCAGGAAACGTATTACGCCAAAAGAAGCTCAAAGACCTATGTGGGAGAAGAGACTTGAGACCTGGAAGCTGAGGTTCAAGCCTTGGCGACACATTTCGATGTCAGCCTCTGCCCCACCTGCCACGGCTGGTCTCCGCCAACATGACGACTGAGAATGCTTTGGAATGCTCTGATCACCCTCTTTGGCTACAGGTAAGACAAATTACTCTTCGAGTTTCAGGGTCTATTATTACACGTCTGCATTAAAGAGCTCCTCTTCAGCTGAACTTACAGTACAATGAGTAAGTCAAGACGGATATCGGCACGCAGAGAGGGTAGATTCAGGGCGCGGACACTTGCGGGCTTAAGTGGGGTATGGAATCGTAAAGTGTAAGTGGAGTTTAGAGTTTGCTCCGCGTTAGCAAATGTATACCGTCCGATACTTCTCGATTGGTTCGATGCATGATGGACGCATAGGGGTACCAGGACTGAGTCCTTCAAGGTTTTCACGGTAAGTCAATTGTAGTAGCTCAACTACGGGCTGCTCTAGTGATGATATCATGACAGCACTCTTTACCATGTTTTGCGTAATCTGAGGGTCCAAGGTCAGCTAATGATGGGACCTATGTACGCACTACTTTTCTCTAGATCTGCGTCTCCTATTGGTATCAAACACGACTAGTCTCAAGCACTCATAATTTGGCCAATGTACGGTTGCCAACGCGGAGTATGTTCCTGAAATTCACATGTGACTGCTGTAGAGTAGTTGGGGCTACTTTCTCTATAAATGCGATTCTTTTCTCTTCTTTAGCAATTTCTTCTCTCAATATTAGCTACAGCTACCTGAGGCTAGTTGAATCAAATTGCCTTGGGCCCTGCACAGATCCTGTCCATCATCCAACGGCCGGAGAACTTCTTTGCTCAAACCACATCTCTCCTCATCGCCCTGCCTCAAGCAACCAATCAACAATGGGCGTCTCTCAAGTGAACCAATCCTTCCAGAATGACGGCAACTTCTCCGAAATCGACCTTCTAGACGTCCAACATGGAGGTCCCATCATGCGTCTCGAAACATTCCGTGCCAGCCACCCAACGGGTGCCTATTCCTACACGGCCTCTGGGACTCCCGTGGAAGCTCTTGCCGGGGAAGAACATCTCGGAGAAAACAGCAACCGCACCTTCCGCATGACTTTCTCTACCGGCCAGCTAGATAAAGTCCTGACTACCTTGGAGATGCGTGAGTTCTTTGACGAGGATGGCCACTACTCTGTCTACATGCGCGACGTCGACGGCAACAGTGACACCTTCGGCTCCACTCTAATTTCCAACGTCACGCCAAAGGATAACAGCATCGAGATCGAGTACAAGATTACGGCACCGGATGACGCCATTGAGAAGAAGGTCCTGTACTCTCCCCAACCGGCTCCCCTGACAGAACAAGTGCCCAGCTTGGTCGACATATCCGAAGTTGAACAGCTCAACACTGCCAAATCCATAAAGGTTGACATGTCCCTTGACAATTCCAAGAATAAATCAGCCAATGAACATCTCTTGGCTTTCGGCAAGGACGTCCGCAATGCATATCCAACATTTGCCAATAACGTCCAGACGTACCTCCGCATGGGCGACTTCCGCGACAAGTGCATCCATCACGGCACGAACCTGACAGGAACTAACCCTCTGCTGGCTGCTGAGTTTATTCCCTTGCGCAACTATCGAGTCAGTCTCATCATGTCTGGCAAGGTCATGGATCCTAACATGAGCGCTGGTGCCTCTCATACTCACCTTACGGCACCATTAAACCACGACAACAAGCCGGGCAGTTATACGCCTTTTCTAGTTGCGTATGCGGCCAATGTGGTCCTTCACCAGTTGGGCATTGATAAGGTGCACTCGGTACGTGATACGATTCGCCCTTGATATTGCTATAGTAACACCTTAATTACTGAGTCTCATTGTAGGACTACGGCGGCATCCCGATGAAGCTTAAACCCGGCAGCCGTCTCGAAACAGGAGTGTCTCCTCTCGTTGACTCCACGAACTTCAATCACGCTCTCAGTCTCGTAAGCGCGCTGCTTTACGCACCAGATGCGCTTCCAAGCCTCAAGGCGACAAAGCCGAAGATCTTGGAGTTCGGTGTGCGTCGCAAGCTTGCGATTGTTGATCACTAGGAGATCGGGGGAGGTATTGAACTTGGAAGCGGTTAGCATTGTTAGGAAAGCGTATGGACATTCACTGAACCTATAATTGTGAAGGATTCAGACTGGAGTAGTCACTGGATGCCGCAAATTGTAGTGGATTTGCTTCTTGCGAATTTTGTAACCGGCCGTCCCAAGCTGTCGTCTCTTTCCTGCACCATGGAAAAAAGATACGTGATACCGTAACAGCTACTCCATAATGTCAACCTCTCGTACTGATGCCTCCACTACCAGTCCCCACCCATCCCTTCCTCCGACCAAGTTTTTTGGTTTTCCAACCTTCTCGATTACACGTAAATGATCTTGAATGGTCTCCTTTAACTTCAATGGATCATTTGTTTTCTTTTGAATAAGGAACACCAGCTGAATCCCGTTAGTACCGCTTCCACCACAAGAGTCCATTGTCCACCGAGCTAACAATCGAACCCTGGGCTTCGTCTCACCGACAAAGCCGGAAGGATAGAGTCGGCGAACCAAGAGCGCCACTTTACCGATATAGCATGTCCACCATACATCCTTGGCCTCAAGAATATCGCGCAGATAAGCTTTGAACCTTGTCTCGCGTGGCAGAAGCTCGCCCCCATAGCTTTCCTCGAGAATCAGTGCAAGCAGAGCGCGGCTAGAGTGAGATACACCGTGCGTGGAAGACAGTAATCCGGTACTAGTGCTGTAAAGAGCAGACGTGGATGATGATCCCTTCGACATGACGGAGTGGAGTAGAGAGTATTAGCAAGCGCCTTAATGATATCCACACTGACCAAATCTGAGTACTGTTTGGAATGTGATCCACTATACTTTGGTATAGCATTAAGGAGAAGCTCAGCTATTTTTGGTGCTGAAGCTTTCGCATACGGAGTGGTAGCCATAGCAAGTGGATTCTGTTTGCGAATGTTCGGAGGAAGGGCCTAGAACAGCACACCCTCTCTCACACCTCCTTGACAGAAATGAGCTTCTCTTATTCCATGTGGCAATGCATTCGCGAGGACGTTGACCAAGAACGCTACGGCGGGAACTTGCTTACGCCGACGGTCCGAAACCCTGAAAATCTTTTGTGCGGTGTGCGCGACTTGTTCCAGCTTTTCCGTATCCGAGAATTCCGAGTTTGGAACCGTGAAGACATTGATGATGGAGATTGGATAGTGGCGTTTTCCCGGCTGGTTCTGGTACAACAGGAGGTACCCCCACCCGCGGAAACCGCCACCAGAAAGATACAACTTGAAACCGCCTTGATGCTTCGCTCTTTTGACCATGTCGCTCGGAACTTCAAGGCCGATGTAGGCGTGGAGGAAGTTCGACTTCATCTCCTCACGCAGTCTCTCCATCGCTCTCTTCGCCTCATTGTGATTCTTTCCTTTTGTCAATTCGTCCAGCTTCTGCGTCAAAGCCGCTGCCCCGTATGGAAAGCTGAACGCGCCTTTGGGACTCATTTTGATGACCCCTGAATGTGACACAATCCACGTAATCTGCATACTCCCGCCTCCAAGGTCCATGGCAATCCCTTCCATTTCCGAGAAACTGCTTGCAATGCCGAACGCACCTATCTTGCCCTCATCTTCCTTCGTCAAAAGTTCGACAGATAAGCCAGTTGCTTTACGAATCGTCTTGAGAAATTCGTCGCAGTTGATAGCTGTTTGTGTGGCTTCGGTGGCTATGATGCGAATGCAGGAGCTTGGGACGCCGAAGTCTGCGCAGATAATTTGGAAGCGGAGAAGTCCGGCAACGACATCCTTTATGACGGGGTCAGGAATCGGCACACGAGCACCCGTCAAATGATCAAATTGGGCTTCGTATAGGCTTATGTCGAGACGGTGAACGTGGAGGGTAGGAATAATGCGAGTTGTAGGTGGGGTAAGATCTGATATTGAGAACCTTATGCCATTGCTGGTAGAGTAGGCGACGCGTCAGTCATAGGCACGGAAAAGTCATCAAGAAAAGAACGAAGGGGCTATTTGCTACCTTCCCATATCAACTACTGCCTGCAAATACTGTGGAGTGTCTTGGAGCTCGACGTAGAGATCGTCGGACGCATAGCTTGTTTGCGAGGGATGCTGGGGGAAGTCGCAGCCACCACCCATGATGTACAAAGGGATGGTTTAATACAGTAGAAAGCCTGAAAACAAGCTGTGGTCTTAGAGTATTGCCAGCTTCTCACCATGGTTTATGTAGTAGTAGGTAACTGCATAGATTGAATTTGCTTAATACGTAACACATGTCGACGTGTGCAAGGTTAGAGCGTAAAAAGTATAGCCCGTAACATTTAGCACAGTATAGGCAGTCTTTGGTTTCGTAGTATAACTACGTACATCATGAGCGGGCGCACCATCCCACCAACATCCTGCGTCCGTTCGCTTTTAACTGCGATGCTTCACCGCCACAACATAGACTCATTTCTGCATAAACCCAGGCTTAGTCTCACTGGAAAGGCAATTAAAGAAGATGCGACTTTCAGCAAACGACACCCTGCATCAGTCTACGTTTCCTCGAAGATCGCATCAGCCCGCATACAAGCACATGTTAGAGGCTGGCAAGGTTGTCCACAACGACATCAGGCGATGGCTTGAGCCAGCTGAGGTCGATTCTCATCCCGACCATTCCAAGTGGTGGAGGCACGGAGAGATGGTGGGGATGTGCGGGGTGCAGGATGTAGTACTTGTAGATCAGTGCAGGAGAGTGGGGTTGTCGAGGAAAGTAGTCGACTGGCTAGCTTGCACCAAGAGCGCTTGTATCACGCCATGTGCCTGTCAGTTAGCAGCTTACTAGCGTCATCCAAACTGACGAATCAGAGGCTGGTATTTTCCTCCGGATCCCGCTTATCCTGCGGCTCAATAAGCGCCAGCATGTCTCATCTCAACATCGACAATTCCAACAAAGGGTTCCGAAACCCTTTGCATTGGAAGATCAGAGTGTTTGTTTATTTTTATATGGGTTTTACGAATCAAAAAAGCTTAGTTGACACGTACAGAATTAGGTCTAGACTTGATCATAGAATCGCTTCCCCTTAGTTGACACAAGCGCAAACATTCCACCCCTTTTTTCTTAAGCCGCCTCAGAGGTGGGATAGGAGTATCTGTAACGCCGCGTTACTATTTGGATTCGGGATCGGCGGCTGAATTCCGCTCGTGGTGCTTCTTGCCAAGAATCTTCTCCTTCATGGCGCTGTGAAGACTGGACTAGGGCCCGTAACCTTTAGCATCTCTCTCGCTTCAGCTCAGTCATATTCACTGCAGCGTAACGGATCTCCCCGAACGTATAAAACACGCCTCACACCACTCACAGACAGCGGTTTCGTCTACCTGGCATGTCTCTCTTCGATAAGGGTGAGATCATCTCGTCGTCCAAATCGAACTACGCCGAATCATCCTCCCCGAAAGTCCTGCCCAGCTCTCCCACTCACGCGCGATCTCAACCTTTCGCACTCGACTTGGCACCGAGCCGTACAAACCGGATGAACTAGACGCTGCACTTGACGGCCACGAGACTGCTCGACCGCTTCACGCATCAAGAAATGGAGGAGGTTGACGGCTGCGGTTTGACAGGTTGTGGCGTCTTTGACTCAAGTCGAGGCCGCCGACCTCTCTGCACACCTTTGCAATACGCGTCACTTAAAACGTCATCTTTGGAAATCAGCTGTAGGATTGGGGAAGACGATGCAGAAAAAAAAAGGCCCAAAACCCTCTGGAAACCGATTTGCTCGCGACTGAAGTATCTATAATTCTTTTTTCAGCTCTTCACTTTACAGGGGAGAGGTTGGTTCTAGAAAAGGCTGCAGATTGAAGTTTACAAATCTAAATGCTGCTTTAAGCAGCAAAGAAGCGCGTTGATGCAGACTCTGTTAGTAAGCAGTGTGTAGCTAAAACAGATACTTCGGCGGTACACGACATCGCCACCTCTAGCAGGGAGGATGGCCGTACCGCACCGGCACAGAACTTGCGTGAAAGCAATGGTATGTAGACATGGTTGAAGAGAAGAGTATTGTATGCGGCTCTCTAGATAGTGTTGAATCTTGCCAAGCATGGCCACCACCACAGCTCTGCTAGTGCTCATCCCTCACGAACATAAACAATCCAAAACTCTTCACGACCGTCAGAGGTCGAACTATAGCACATCTCCACAGCCCTACGGAGGTTTTCCAAATAAGTAAGGGCCGGTGGGTCGTGCGCCGCCACCGTAGTCAGCTTCTTCTTGGCAATGCAACTCCGTGAATTGAATTGTAGATATCTCAGCAACTACAGCAGATATCTATATAGTTCAAAGTGGAGATTCAATCTCCATCATCTATCTCCCATTCCCCATCAGCTGAGGACCCCTCAGAGCTAGAATGGTAGCCTTCAAAGTCTTCTAGTTCACTCAAAGTCATCTCATCTCTGAAGTCTCCAAACACTGGCCGGCCATCCGGCCAATCTAACTCTGAGGAGCTAGATGAGGTAGAGGATCGTGAGGAGCGTGATGAGGAGCGTAAGGAGGAGTCTTTTGGTGTTGCTCTTGCACGTGGCTGCCAGTTTGAGACTTTGTCATCTCTTCCTTCCTGATACTCATTACCTCCCTCAAGCTCTATAATTTTCTGAATATGCCGTGGAATTCTTTCAATCCAGCGCTGGATCCTCCACTGTTCAAGGTTATCCCAAGCTTCCTCCCACTCCTCCACCATCTTAGATATTGCAGAAGCTGGTCCTCGTGAAGTAGTCTTCCTCTTCAGCCATGGCCAGGCTGCTTCAATGGAGTTGAGATCGGGTGAATTGCCACACCAGATAAGCCTAGGAACCTCCATCTCCTTAAAGAATTCTTCCTGGAACCAATGGGCATGAGAAGGAGCCTTATCTTCTTGAACAACTGTCCTAGGTCGGGTCTTTTGGCACTCCTGCGCAAATGGAATAAGCTTAGGCTTCAACACCTCAGAGTAGTAACGCCACCAGTCAACTCCTCCCTTGCCTCTCCGGGTGAGTTTTCCACTCTTTTCATCCCATTTCCACTCAGGCTTCTTCCCAGGCTTGTTTCTTAAGCCAGTGCGCCTCATCAGTGTAGTAAGCTCCCACTCCTCCTTCTTAATAGACTCCCATCTCTTGTTCAGCTCCCATATCTTCTCCTCAGCCTCCTTTTTCTGCTTCATTGTTTCTGTTCGGTAGATGTAAAAAGGTCCTTTAAAATCATAGGAAAAACAGCCCCAGAACATGAACTCTGAGTACCCCTTCCACCGTGCACGAATGCAGCTTTTTTCATACTTTTCAGAGGCCTGGCGCCATATACGGATGGAGCCTCTCCTAATACCCATTACTACAGCTGTTTCATCACTCCAAATAACGTTCTTCCAGTCCTCCAAGGTCCAGTGTTGGTACCGTAAAGCCCACTCTAATCTATCCTTTCTCATCCTCTCTGTAAGTCCTGGTTTCTTCGTAGGCTTAACTCTCCTAAAACCTAAGGATCTAAGGTGGGTTCTAACAGTTTCATGGGAAACTGGCCACCCCTCCTTAGTGAGCTCCCTTGCCAGCTCCTCAGTGCCTTTCTCTCTCCCATATCTATCACACCTCACCTTCTGAAGTAGTGCCTCCTCAAAGGAGGCACTCCTCTTACGTGGGGCACCTGGCTTATCTCCATCCTTCACGTGTTCATCCAGCACTACGGAGCCTGACTGATACCCACGCTCTTTTGCCCTAGTAATCATCTTTCTTTGAGTCCTCTCCTTCACACCAGTAATCTCTTCAACTTGTTTGATTGACGCGCCAAAGGACCGCAGGGCTACAACCTGAGCCCTGGTTGCTGTATCATAATATGGAGGCATGTTTAGGGTAAGAAACAGTAAGGCAATTCGCCAGAATGCGCAAAGATATAGGTATAAGGACAACGCAGGTGAAAATTCAGACAAACATTCACATTTCAGAAGCTTCTTCTACCTAGATTCTATACAAAATACGGTCTTTCATCTATATCTGCATGATGAGCTGTCATGCCAAGAACCAGCTGAGATCCCCCTGCCAGTGGCCGCAGCCACATGGGCCACCGGCCCTTACTTATTTGGAAAACCTCCGTAGAGATTGCAGTGTTCATGTAAGGAGCCATTTGTTGTATGACCATGCAACAGCTCCGTGCGACAGCTGTATCACCAAGGCATGCAGAGCCCCTCCACCTTCGTATGCGCTTGCAACGGCAACGTTTCGCCAGTAACGCTCGGTTGAGCCCACTTGCCGAAGCGCAGGCTTCGATTTCCAGGGACCGTCGTACTCTATCTCATCTACATTTTCCCCATCACATTATCCTTTCCTCCTCCAAAGAGCCGAGGCCAGAGCTCGCTGTTGCTTGGCCTAAGAATCGGCGCTGGTGGACTCGAGAAGCATAAGGACGTGGTGGGCTCGATCGGGTCGTCTCATCGGTCAGAGGAGGGAGCAATAGCGGGCGTCGGAGCTTAGGGGCGTGGTAATGCTATGTCGTGGGCATCGCTGTGCGTTGGACCCCGTCTAGAAACGTACAAGATGGCTGGTTTCGACGCTGCAACTGTGCCGGCTGACTAAACAAACACCTGGCCATGGTCTTCATCACGGCTCCCAATCCCCACGTCGGAACTATCGATAATCCGAACGCTTGTGCAGCTCGCACAGCCACATGCCCATGGAATAAAAGACATCCGGACTACTCGTTTACTAAAAATCAGCAGGAGGGAAAAGAGATGGATCCATCCATCCACGCAGCCAACTAAGTAAGCAATCTCAAAATAGATCCCCACCATCGCTACGGACCGCTGCACAGCTCGTCACATAGACTGCTGCCCTGTGCACCCGACAGCACATTCCCTACGGCAAATCAACGCTGACTGCTGCACGTTAATCGACGTGGTTGGCCATGCGAATGCCCCGGGACAGTCGGGCGCTTAGAGGAGGCCACCCAACCATCACTGAAATAACCGCCTGAGGGAAGCGCCCAGGATGACGCCCCCACTGATTGGACCACCACTTACACCACAACACCCAAATGGGCCGTTTTCTGCAGAGTAAACACCCGTCAACCGCTATTGCTTTGCAGCATCCTCACGAGAATGCTTGGAAGACTATGCCGGCCGGCTTGTGTGTTGCGTCTTATAGTAGTCCCTATCCTCCCCACATCTCCGCCTCACTAAGGCACGTCTACCATGGTCGACCGCTGTGAAGACCTGGATTGAGTTTTATTTGGTCTTTTCTTGTGTCTTCTCGGTCAAATCCGACGCCCGGGCTTTCGTATTGTTAGGCATAGTTAATCAAGAGACGGATTCGAAAAATGCCGGGCCCAGCACTACAATTATTTCCTCCTCCGCCCCGTCCCCAGAGACAGGCCAGTCCCAACAGAAGGCAGCGAGAAAAGCCTCCTACGCCGGAGCCGAGAACAGAGAGAATGGATTCAGCGCAGAGTTCCAAGGGCCCACCCGACTTTCACGAACTCATCATCCAGGTCAACTCGGTTCCCGTCTCACCGTCCAGCTCCATCGCGCCGCCGAGCTCAATTGCACCTCCTCCTAGGGCACACATACCCAATACGCACATGAGAACGCCGCCACCACCAGAGAGCAGACCAACCTTCGAATCACCGCCTCATACAGCCTCAGTGTCTCCAATCTCAGTGAGAAATTCCTCTTCAAAAATTCCAGATCCTCGGACACAATCACCGGCTGTGTCATTGCAAGATGGACAGTGGACGAGAGCTGCCTCGTCCAGTCCAGATCCCAACCGCGCAGCTTCTCCTGCATTCTCTACGAGTGCCACTCTGGTGCGAGCAAATAGTTCAGCGACCCAAGGCCTCTCAAGATCACCAGATGAAGAAATCCCCATGCGGTCCATGTTCCCTGTCTACGACCCAACCGTGCCGCTACCTCAGCAGCAATACAAGCCGACTCAGGCCTCGCCTACCCACATTCCGAGGACCCAGATCAGCAGATCTCCCTATTCACCAACATTCTACGTTCCGCACAGCAACGTTGCCAGCGACGGGAACAAGAGTCCTCCCCCAAAACCCTTCTTCACCCCTTCCCATCTCCTCGACAATCTCTGGGTAGCGTGCAATGGCCAGGAAGCGCCAGCCGTTCAGCTCTACACTCTTCGAATGCACCGGCCATCCGAGGCCAACCCGACCGTCACCTTCGGAACCACTCCGTCACTCCCATTCTACAGCCTAGCACAGTCAAACCTGGCCGGCCAACATGAGGTCCAAAGCATCATGAATGAACTCCTAATCCAGCGACACCACCCCACTCAACCACGCGTCCTCCCCATCGCTCAACTCGACCTCATTTGCCCGCCCTCGCTCGACCACCAAGGCTTCGATCCTCACCAGCAAGAGCCCGCCACCCTCCTCACGAGCATCTACCCAAAGCTTGCCGCTCTCGCCGCGCTGGATGCCGCCGCAAACTCTCCCGCAGCATCCCACATCGCCCTCGCCGACCCAAACGCCACCTCCCCAGCGGCCCAACGTCTCGCAGAAGACGTCCTCATGGAGGCTGCACAGCGCGAATGCTGCGCTCTCGTTTGGACCCGGGAGACTCTCGAACAACCTACCAACCCCTGGGCGCGCCACATGCCGTCCGAAGGATCCTACCAGCTCCACCACCCAACACTAGGCACCTTTCCCATCAAGATCGAAGGCGACTGCTCCGGAATCAACAAACCCTCCACCCGCCCCGTAACCGCCATGTACGCACACAACATGCCCTCGACACCCCCCATAGCAGGCAACGGTCAGAAACCCGCCTCCATCGCCGTCCTAAACCCCTACATCCTCTCCCCCACCTCTCCGCGCGCCAACAACGCCTTCTCCGCCGGTCTCCCTTCCCCCGTTCCGCGATTCGGCCCCGGTTCAGACAATCGCCCAAACTCCATGACGCCCTCGGTAATGGACATCACGCAGCTCGCCACGGCCACCGACGCCAGCGCCGACGACGCCGTGCTGGCCCGTCTGGACTTTGTGTCGGACTCGCTCACGCTCAACCTGGGGGCGCTGACGCGTTTCGGCAACCCGTTCCTCGTGGACGTGGTGGCGAGCGCGATCCTGGCTGTTGCTGTTGCGGAGGCGAAGCGCGGGAGGGGCAAGAAGGGTAGTAGGGCCGGGAGCGTGGAGGCGTTTGAGGCGCCGCCGGATTCGAGGGAGGTGTTGGCGAGGAGGAAGGAGGAGGCCGGTGTGAGTGATCGGGAGGCGTTTACGAAGGGGTTTCTGGAGGGGTGGAATGGGTGGGGTGGGAAGGCGAGGAGTCCGTTGAAGGGGAAGGGGAGGAAGTGGGAGGTGGTAGGGGGGAAGGGTAAGGGGGGTATGGGCAGTGGAGGGGAGGAGGTGCAGTTGGGAGAGGGGGATAAGGATATCGAGTTGGGGGAGTGGTATGGGCAGCCTCCTCGATCGCGGAGTGTGCAGCAGGAGGGCAAGACAAGGATCAAGAGTAAGAGGAGGGAGGAAGAGGGGGAGAAGGACAAGGAGAAATTACCCTTTGTCACGCGGACCATCATCAGTGTGCTGAGTTTCGCCTTCAGGAGCGTCGTCTTCGTGCTCAAGATCGCCGTCAAGGTGGTTGCCGGCGTCGTAGTCATGATTACGCGGAATTTCTCCAGGTTGTAGCGTGGAAAAGGTTGCGGGCGTTGTATCCGTTGTATATATGGCTGGATGAGGAGAGTTTCCTTTGTTTCTTGTGATATCTTTTCTTGCGGGGCTACTTTTATAGGTGGAGCTGTTGTTCGGCGGGATGGTACAGGATAAGGATGGGTGTTTTGTAGAGTGGGGTTGCTATGATACCTAGTCGGTCTTTTATCATCGACATAATGGATTCTGTTTGTCCTGCTCTGTGTCTGTGTCTGTGTCTGTCCCAACAGCATGTATTCCTCTGCCATGGTGCGTGCCGATTAGGCATTCGTGACGTGCTGAGAAGCAAGCTTTTACCTTCCAAAAATCGATGTACAGGAGTCATCGTCTGCGTGGAACGCCTGAGAACCGCCTCACGGAGACAAGCAAGTTGCATATCGATTACGAATTCTACATCAATTAATCATTTCAGAAAGGATTTTTCGAGAAATCGTTCATATACGTTTCACGGAAAAAGCATCCCATCACAACAGCAGTGGACCCCTAAGCGAAAATCGCCATGTGATGAACGATTCGTAGAGAACGCTCAGACGCGTCTCCAATTCCATTATGTAGTACTTTCCGTCAATCCAGCCGTGCCGTGCGTGATATCATTCCGAGTGACCCCCCATATGCATGCCCAGAACCGCCCCGAAAAATCCTCAACCCTTCCTCTCCCAACGCCTGGTCCCAATAGAATGCATATTGGAAGGAAGGCGCCAAAGAGTGAGAAAGAGTCGTAGCCAAGTTACCCAGGACACCGCCACCTTCTGAAGATTCCCATGACGCCGATCCTCATGCCCTCAGTCTCCCAGTGTCTTTAGAATCGTCCCCGGTGAAACTTACGAGGCCTGTTCTGTGCTCACTTCCGTCTTACTTCTCGCCAGGAACGTTCTTCACACCTGGCAACGGTGGAAACGCCTGTTCATCCATCACCAAACCCTGCGCCTCCGCAACGCCCACGCCCTTTTCTACCTCCTTCTCCTTCTCAGACGCCTTGACCGGTTGCACAACCTCATCAAACAGTCCCCCCTCAGCGGGTGCAAGCCCCCTTCCCACGTCCACCAGAATCCTCCACGCCCGGCGAAACTCGTCTCGAATCGCCACGATCCCATTATGCGTCACCGTCCTCGCGACATTGTGATCGAGCTCGAAGGGATCTTCGATCGCAAACAGATACCTCGAGCGCACTTCCTTGCCCTCCACCGTCGTCGTCTTCGCGCCCGTCCAGCCTTTCTCCTGCTTCGTGAGGATCCCCCCTGGGGTGCGGAGGGAAAGCACTTCGGTGGTCCAGTAGAACGAAGGGGCTCGCGGGCCGGAAATGTATCCGGGGTTGTAGGCGGGGAGCGCTGCAAAATATTGGAAGAAGCCTCGTAGGAGAGCACCGAGGGATTGCGTATTTCTTGTCAGACGACCCTGACGCGCCGCTTCTAGGATTTCCTGCTCATTGCGCCAGAACCGGACCGTGTAGCCGTCGACGGTGGTTCCTGCTAGCATTTGACCTAATGAATCGGCAGAGGTAGGTCCGGGTCGCCATGAGAGCTGCAGATTGGGGCATACCGGGGGTTGCGCGATGTTGACCAGGTAGTGAAGGACCATGAGGACCCAGCCGTAGCTGGAGAGGGTGCCGCTGTAGCTGTTGTTTATCTTGCGGCGCTTAGCCCAGGATTTGACGAACAGGACCATGGGACGGACGCGTGGGTCGGTGAGCGAGTAACAGCGCAGGAGGTGCGTGTTGTGTAGCCCAAGGCTGTTGGAGAAGTTGATGTCGCATTGGATGCCGATGCCGGTTTTGGGGAAGTCGAGGGGACCTGCGGGTTTCTCACGCACCCAGAACCTGCCTCTGTCGCGCGGTTTGTGCGGATTATTATTACCCTTGGTGGGTTTTGCGTTGGTGGAGCCATTTTCAGGCTGTGATGCCGGCTCTTCAGGGACGGACTGCTTCGGAGATGGGGATCTGCTACGGTCTGCTGATTTTGGAAGAAGGTCATTGATGTCCATGGCCGCGAAGATCTCAGATGGATCCCGCTGGTCCATGGTTTCTGGAGATTTGCCGTCGTCAAGGTCTACGAGAGCTGCCGGCTTCGGTGGAGCAGGCTGCGGATACTTCTTTTCTTCCGGCAGCTCATCCCACTTCTTACGTTCCTCATACAGTGCGGTGAACAGTTCCTCTGAAGGGATTTGACACACCTTCAAGATGGGTACCCTGGTCTTGCTGAGAAGTCGTCCGCCCATCCTAGAATCCAGGATTGCCTTCTCCAACAGTCTCGGGACATCTTTCGGTAGGCTGGCATGTTCTCCTACTATTCCTTCCCTCCATATGGGTACGACGGCGAGATCCATATCGGAGCCGGGTGTAGCGAAACCGGACGCTAGACTCCCGAATCCAACCAGATCTATGGTCTCTAGATCACTGCAGGCCTCGCTTTTAGAGATGGCGTCTCTGAGAATGCGCTCAAGGAGAATCCTGAAACTTTCCTTCTCTTCCAGTTCGGCAATGCTGATCTCAACACGGGGCACTTCCTGCGACGCTACGTAGTCTAAAAACTGGATCTGGGCGAGCGGATTCTCTGGGATTTGCTCTGGACGCCGCTGATACATGGCCTGCAAACCATTTTGTCTCGTAAATTGAGCCGTTCGCGGAGACGAAGCTGGGGAACGTGTGTCAGTATTGCTAAGCTGCTGTGGTCGCGGTAGAATCCTCGGTGGCATGGACTGTGGAGCCTGCTGTGGGTTGGGAGGTATTTGAGCGCCATTGCGACCAAAGTTCCGACGGTTACGCTGGCCTGGGTGTGGATATCGAGGATGAGTTGGAGCTTGACCTGATGGCCTAGGGTTTGGCGAGGGGACGCCTTGTTGCTGACCTCCGCGCAGAGTTGTTTGGCCTGTAGGGCTCTGGGGCGTAGGATCATGGCTGAGAATCATCCTTCGGACTTGGTCCTCCAGAGATCCCGATTGCAGGGCGGGATCCATCTCTACCCTGCAATATTAGTACCGGCCGCGCTTGCTTCAGCCAGCAATCAAGCAGGCGGTTGAGTCCGCACGAAAGGGTAGTTGTCGTTTGCCCGCCTCAAGACATATGGGTATGGACATCACTTCACCGCGTCCCCATACAGCGAGAGGTTCAACCTGGACCAAAAGGTAAACAGAGTCGCATATGCCTGGACTTGGCAGAAATGGGCTACGGAGAAATCTTCGGCCGATTCCGGTCTGGGGCTTAGCGGCTTGGCACCAAAGTGACGCTGCAGCGTGAACGACTTGTGCGACACGGCGCAACAAAGCCCTTTTACCTCTCCATCACCATCACCGACCCCTCGACCTCTGCCCAACCCACACTCCCGCAATTGTTCTGTTGACGAGAGCTCCTTGTGAACAGAACATTGCGATCCCGCGTACTGGCAACGTTCTCGCATCTATCAAAATGAACGGCCAGCCGTCAGCAGCTCCCCAGGCAGCGCCTCAGGCTGCTCTCAACGGTCCCGGGCCCTCGTCAACCGCACCCACTGCTTCACTTCCAGGAAACCGTCCAGCTGGACAGAATGGACAGCCGCCCCGTCCTAGAAGGCGCCGCCCGCCACCGGATCCCATGCGCACCCCATATCGGCCATTGAAGACCATCGCTCGACCGGTCGTCTCCTTGACAGACATGAACACTCCTGACAAGCAGACTCGTGCTGCCGGGGCAAGTGAAACTGATAACGGCATACCCGTACCAGTGCTTCGCCAAGAGTACCTGACGAAGGTCGAGGGAGAGACTATAGCACTTCCTCTGGTGATGAGACGCGGCGATGTGAAAGAGCTCCGCCATCATATCATGAGGCTCCAGTCACGGACACGAATCGATATACAAGACGAGAAACAGTTCACACAACCGATCCGCCTTCACCGCCGAGATCCGCGCGCTCCGCCCAGTGGCGCTGGATCCCACTTCGAGGAGGAGGAGACTGTAGAGGATCTTGAGGAGCAGAAGGAGAAGGAGCGGATAGAGATCCTGAAGGAGGAACGCCGGCGGGTCCGCGAGGAGAATCAGGCTAAGATTGCGCCGACGGGGAAGAAGAAGGCTCCGGCTTTTCAGAAGAAGACGGAGCAGAAGTTCAGAGCCGATGACACGCCGGAGGCGGAGAAGCGGCGGTTGCTGAAATACGAGGAGACACTACCTTGGCACCTGGAGGACTTCGACAACAAGCAAACGTGGTATGGCACCTACGAAGCCGAGTTATCCGAGGCCCACGTTATGCTCACCACCGCCTACGAGAACGGGCGCGACGTCATGCAAATCGTTCCTCTTGAGAGGTGGTACAAATTCGCCGTTAAGGGCAAGATAAAGCAGACGGGCGAGCAGGAGGAGGACCCGCTCAAGAAAGAGGAGAAACTCCCTGACTTTTTGAACAAGATAGAGCAGAAAAGCATCAAGAGGGAGCAAGAGCTTGCCATGAAGGAAATGAGGCGCCTGAGAGGCCGTGTGGGTGCGGGTGACGATGATGAAGGGGCCCCTCCCCGAATGCGAACTGGAGACGATGAGCCCATCGTCAAGCGCGAGGCGGATGCGGATGACATCGACTTCAACTACGAGGAAGACTTCGCCGATGACGAGGAAGGGGTAAACGGACTGTTCGAGGGCGAGGAAGCCGACGTCAAGGAAGCAGAGGAGAAGCTGAGGCGTGAACGATTGGCCGCCGCAGCATTCGACCTGCGAAACGAAGCTGAAGTCTATAGGCAGGAAGAGCTTGAGCGGCAGGCGGCCGAGAATGCGAGAAAGCTCGAGAAGAGCATCCGCAAAGCTTTGATCAAGAGGGAGAAGAATCCCGACTACGACTACCGGTCGGATCGCTCGAATCCGTACGAGAGCTCGTCCGACGACCTGGAGACGGATTCGGAAACCGAGCGGCAAAGGGCCAAGGAGGAGGAGGAAAGGAAAGCCGCTGAGCAGAATGGAAAAGTGGAGGCCGACAAACCCGGTTCGGGTGCTTCTACGAGGGGTACCAACACACCTTCTGGTAATCACAGGCCTGTTGATTTCAACAAGAAGAAGCGGCCTGGCTCTCCCAACCTCTCCGAGGCCAGTGGCAACGAATCATCGCGCAAGAAGCACAAGAAGAAGCACGAGAGGAACGTTGACGGAACGCGGAAGTCGCATCTCAATGACATGGCGAAGCGAACTGCAGCGTCCGGTAGCGATACGGAAATGACGGACGCTGGCAGGCCCAAGAGCAAACTCAAGCTCAAGCTCGGTACAACTCCAAGCGGGACTCCTGGTGGCAGTCGAGCGGCCAGCCCAGCCGCACCACAGGTCAATGGCAGCAGGGCCGGTAGTCCTGCTCGTGCTGCCGCAGCCCCACAACGTAAGTATCTATTGAAGTTGTAAGAATAGCACAGCTGATTTGAAGCGCAGAAAAAGCTCTACCTTCTGCATTGGAGATTTACAAGGCGCTTCCTCCTGAAGGCATGACCATCACGGGGTTGATCGCCGCATTCAAGGGGCGCGTGGATAAGACCAACACGCAAGCGTTCATCAAGCTCGTCAAGGCGGTCTCCAGCTTCGACAAGGCGCGCAGCTGGCTCACTCCCCTGCCGCAGATGCCGGCCGAACATGAGATTCAGAGCAAACTGCAGCGCAACGCAGCGCCCAAGAACCCAGCTGGGACTCCGTCTGCGGGAAACTAATGGAGTTTCTGCACTCTGGTTGGGCGTGTCGTTGGCGGTATATATGTGTATTCTAGGTTTCCTGCAGATCGTTGGAACTTCGGTCTTGGTTTGATGTGGCATGGCAGTTGGGACAAGAGTCGTGCGTGCTCAAATCGTGGAGATGGCATCAATATGGCTATCTGGATCTTTCCGGAGTTGGGGGGCTACTCATATCATAATCGACGGGGGTTATGTCCATGAATGGGAAACGTATAGGCCATGTTTCCATCAAGGGGAAGCATGAATTGACAAAGATTCTCCTTCCGCTAGCGTCATGGCATGATCATATACATACCAGCTACTGAAATTGCCCCGCCTTTGTGTTCATCCATTGGCACAAGGCCTATCTGCATCTTCTATATCATCCCCGCTGTTTACAGCGCATATTAAATGTCTAATTTGTTCGTTTCTGGTCCGATGGCTACGGCACCATTCCATTCCCCCGTGACGGGGTCTTTGGTTGCTCATTTCGTTCGTACAGCGTTTCGGTTCCAACGCCAGTGCCATCGCATATATTGACAATCCCGTGTTGCGGTTGCGGGTCCGTCACATGAATTGCAATAAACTGAAACATCCTAGCATGCACGCTTCTTCGGTGTGTGTGTGGTGGGTGGTGGGTGATGGGTGATGGAGGTGGAATATCCGCGCGCGGGCGGGCTTGGCTGAGGGTGGTTTTCCTTTCCTTTCCTTTCCGTGTGAGTGTTTTTGTTTTTGTTGGGGTATCCTGTATCCTGTTGATCGCGGGAACTGGGTGGGGGTGGGGGAGATTGTTGTTGGTGGTTGGGTTCGGTTGGGTTGAGCCGTTACTGTTTTGCAGGGACACCGGCCCAGTGGGAATGGGGATACTAAAGGTTTGGCTTGGATGTTGGGTGGTATTGCTTTTTGTAGTGGAGCCTGTGGAGGTAGGTGGTACCGGGGCAGTGGGTGTCGGTGTCGGGCCAGCTGTCTGTGCACATGTGGGGATAGGGGGGTTGGGTTGCGGGTGGCAGTTTTGAGGAGGAGACAGGGCGGGTGGAAGGGCGGGGGCGGGAAGGGTGCGGGGATGGGGTGAATGTAAGGGTTGGATGAGGAGGAGGAGGAGTTTGTCGGTGAGGCTAGAACGTGACGGGATGTCGAGGAAGATCATGATGTGGTACGGGGAAGGATGTACAGTGAATGTGAGTCGTTCTGGGGAGAGTCCTTCAGAGAACTAGCAGTGAGAAGAGTACTAGGTCGAGTGTACGGAATGTACTTGGCCTTGTGATTCGTGAAGAATATTGTCCTTCAGTGATGGAAGTTGGAGCGGCGTGCAGAATATATATACCCCTTTGCTTTATGGTTATGGCTTATACAGACACAGCGCATAGGAGTATCAAAATCTGCAGCAGATGATTGCCATGGGCCAGGTAAAATGATACTGTCCTCTCCAACACGTAAGGAACGTGGGGGGATACTGATCCTGATCTGCTAAAGATCCAGGGCGTGGTTCGTTCCGGTGAGGGAAAGCAGTGTTGCAGACCGACTCTATGCACCCGGTTGACTGAACAAAGGGATCATGGCACTAGCTCACGTCACGAGTCACACGCTCTACATGCAACCATCACCGATAACCTCGCCACAAATAAGGAGAGAGATATCAATTAAATGACCATCTACCTGCGATTGCAGCTCCCCTGTTGCAGCCCGAGCCGTCAAAGAGAAAAGACCGTCCCTTCTATCCACACCCATTGTAAACCCTCCCATGTAATCCCACCAATCTGATATCCAAGCTCAGTAAGAGCCCATTCTCTACCTGTGTCACCCACTATAGACACATCTACGAACCCGTCTTGGCATGGACGTTCTCCTGGTGGATCGGAGTCGTGAGTTGCACTTCGCCCTTCTCGATGTCGCGCTGCAGCTGGTCGAGACGGGAGCCCGTGCCCGCCGTCTTCCAGGCGGGGATGCCGCTGTCGAAGATGTCGTCCATCTCCTCGAGGGATTTGCCCTTGGTCTCGGGAGCGGTGAAGAACATCTACGGAAGACGGTCAGCGGTTCCGTGAGAAGGGGGAATGAAAAAAGACGTGAAAAACTCACATGGATCAACGCCAGGCCGTTGAAAGTCCCGAAGATCATGTACATCCTCCAATTGATCTTCTGGAGAAGCGGCGGGACGGCGAAAGCCAAGATGCAGTTCCAGGTCCAGTTCGAAGCCGTGGACAGAGAGACAGCCTTCGCGCGGACCTTGGCGGGGAAGATCTCAGAGGGGTAAGTCCACGAGCTAGGACCCCAGGTGGCCGCGAAGGTGGCGACGAAAAGATAACTACAGGCGATGACGCCCTTGGATGGGCCGGGTTTGTTGACTAGGACCCAGGAGACTTCGTCCTTGGTAGCGGGGTTGGTGTTGAGCTGGCCGTAGGAGGCTTGGATGGCGCCCGAGATGAACAAGAGACTCATCATGCCGAAGGAACCGAGCAGAAAGGCGGGACGGCGGCCAGTGCGATCGAGCCACAGAATGGCAGGAAGCGTCATGGCCACGTTGATGATGTATTGAATAGACGAGGTCAGGAGCTCATCCGCAATGCCTATAGACAAATTAGCTGCTGATTGCACTTGTCGTACTGGCAGTGACTTACCGGCACCCCGCATGATGTAAACGATATAGTACATCATGATCTGTTGCGGTTAGCGCTCTGGTACTGGCAATGCCTGGTTGGACAAGTTCTACTCACATTCATGCCGCACAATTGAGACCACATTTGTATGGACATTCCGAGAATGACGCGCTTGAAGATGCGGGGCTGCGTGAGGGCCTTGTAGCTGGTGACGGCCTGTTCACGCTCGAAGCGAAGGGCCTCCTCGATCTCGTGGTACTCGGCGAGGACGGTGGCGTTGGTGGTGTCGCCGCGGCCATGCAGATTGGCGAGCGTCCTGAGGGCCTCCTCCCAGCGGCCCTTACTGGCAAGCCAACGAGGAGAGCGTGGGAAGAAGAACATGCCAAAGAAGAGAAGCACAGCGGGGAACATCTGGATGGCCCATGGGATGCGGAATGCGGCAGTGCCTTGGTTAGGGGCCTTGGGGCCGCCGTCGACGAAGGATGCACCATACTGGATGAAGTACTGGATTAGGATGCCCCTTCAGCGGTGTTAGTACAGCAAAAAATCGAGGTGGCATGCCGTGATGACTCGCCAAGGCGGACACATACCAGGTGATGGCCCACTGCTGAAGAGACACAACACGTCCACGAATACCCTTGGGAGCGATCTCGGATTGATAGACCGGGACAATAGCAGAGCAGATACCAATGGCTACACCGGCAATGACACGGCCGATGCAGAGAAGAGCAACACCATTAGCAGCGGTTTGGAGGCTAGGTCGTTGTCAGCGGAAATGCTATCATTTGCCATTTTATGCACATACATGGCGCCGATGACCCAGATGAGGGCACCGACTTGGATAGCGGTGCGACGGGAGAGCTTGTCGGCGATGAAGGAAGAACTGAGGGCGCCGAAAAGCGACCCAGCCGGCATGGCAGCAGTGATGCCGCCTTGACGATAGCCGGTAGCTACTGAGGTCAGACGCGAATCCCAAAGGCAGCAGAGAGTACCTACGATTATGAAAGTAATTCTTGTACGCATTGGTTCCCAGTACCCCGCTCATGGAAGAGATGTCGAAGCCGAACAAGGCTCCACCGATGGCGGCGAAGCCGCAAATAGCGTAGACGTTGTAGAACGTCTGTGGGCGTCAGCGCGGATGCAACCGAGGGAGCCGGGAGAGTTGATACCTTCATCTTGTCGATGGTCACGGCGGGTAGAAGTTGTGTCCAGCAGGAGGGGAACGAAACTGTAACCTGGAGTTTCGGGGTGCAGGAGGAGGGAAAGAAAGAGAGAAAGCTTCAGGTCGAAAAGAGGATTTATGGAGGAGCCGGGGTGCGGAAGCTCCGCACGCGCGTGACCTAGGAGGATCGGTGTGGTTCCAGTACGCGCTTGGCGGGGTGTTGGGTGTAGTGTGGTTCACGATGGCAGCGTATACGAACCGCCTTTCACCGGCTGGAGACGTGCCAACACGCTCCCATGTGATACGCACGGTCCATGGAAGCTGGAGTCCCCCGCCCTGCAGCAGCGTCAAACGGACGTTGTCTTGCAGTTTCTGCAGATCGGGAGGACTAAGAGAGGGCCCGAGCCAGCGCCATGGGGCTGGATGGCTGGAGAAACTCGGGGTATCACCAGATTGGGACCATGTTGGGACCGCTTTACGCTCCAGTCGGTGCGCGATTTTCCAACGAAGCTTTGAGAAGCTGGGCCGCGGTGACGCCTCTCCGGGGTTTCGGTGCAACGTCGACCCGCATCCTAGGTTGTACTCGGGCTGCATTCAGGCGTTCGGCGGTGACATTTCTACGAGCCACCAATCAGGAGCAGGCCGTGTAAAGGTGCCAGTGAAAGGTCATGTCAGTCCATTTTGCCCGACATTGCGATGATCTAGGCCCCAATGGGATTGTCTTTTGCAGATGCTTGTACAGAGCTTCAGCACCATAGGCTTTTGAGAGTTTGTTGTATCGAAGTCAATTCTGGACCTGAGGAGGGTTGTTGTACTCTACAAGTAAGGCGATGTTGGATTTGAGTTGCAACCTTGGAAGTGTGGGGAAAGCCACAGTTCCCAAAGCAGTCTAGCGCCAACGTCGGGGATTCGAGAGGGGCATAAGCGTCAGTAGCTTATCCTAACGACCTGCCCAACCGTCCGTCCACCCACCTCCCTACCCGGGCAGTGCATGCGCTACGACGTCGCCGCATTGCTAACTGACAACGGCCGGGAAAGGCGCCGAGAGGTACACCATCGAGCATCGGGCACGCGCAACCATAGCCGCTCTTGGCAATGCAGCCGCCAGGACGACGAGTCGGACAGGGTTCATACGTCAAAGACTCCGCAGTACGAGTGCCAGTAGTGGGTAGGTAGTGGTGAATTACGTGGTACCGGTAGTAGTGGTAGTGAACCAACTACAGTAGTGGTGCTGGATCGAGAGCCCAAAGCCCAAGTGGTCCCCAAATCGGACCATGATTTCACTTCGCGGAGCCGAATAACCAACGACATTCCCTTACTCGCTTCTTCATCGCTTCGTCACATCAGCCCATGGAGTAAATCCTGGTCTCCTCACGATCAGTTGCTACGCCTCATCATCCAGCGAACCAACCGCCCCCTCTCTTTGCACAAGCCACACCCTCCCAGATGCTCTCCCATTCCAATGGTCTCACCCATCACATCTACCACAGATATCCGTACATAGGCCCTTCATCGTCTACATAAGCCCAGAACTCAAGTTCGGAACTCCCCTTCACAGGCGGAATCCGAGACCATCGTCGCACATATCGCCGTTTTCGAAAATGTCAACAAGCCCAGCGGGTTTTTTTTTTTTTTTTTTTGTATCAAATATGTGTATTGAGTCTAAGACTATGACACTGCTATCCTAGATACATGTGCCCGAAGGCTGTGTGTACAAGGTTATAGCTAGTAGGAAGATTTAAATCTAACCTACCAAGGAAGAGAACAGAGAAATTAGTTACAGGCCCTTATTTCCCTGTTATA